GACAACGAGGGTTGAGTATGACAGAGCGAGTAGCGTCGGCTAAAAAACCAACCGACGGCGAATAAAAGGAAATCGTTGAAAAAAGCGAGAAAAAAGGGGAAAATAAATGCAGTACCTATTATAGGACGTTATAATATGAATAAAATGTATCCGAACAAAAATTCTAAGTCAAGAAACAGTAGTGGTCAAACTTGAAAGCATTTGAGGTGTTTAGCTTTAAACCGGACATGACTCAGTTTTCCCTTCTGAAGCAATCATTGGCGCAGTAAAGGATGTAAAGTTCAAGGCATTTAGTTTCGATAGAACAGTAACAATGCCACATGCAGGGTACACAAGTTATAGGCAACGTCTTCAGACTCGCGTGCCTCTTGGCGGAATAGCGAAAAAATAAAAAAAAAAAAAAAAAAAAAAGGATAAATGATCAGTGCAGGTTCTACTTACGTATATGATAAAAAAAGTCGTGCGTAACTAAGGGAAAAATAAGCGCAGGAAGAAAGAGCCGATAGATAGAGAAAATGCTCGAAAAAGAGCCACGGCGACGCTGAAAAAGACCGTAAAGTGTGAGCATCGGAAGCGACGACCCGCAGAAATGGCGGTGGGTAAAAGGGTTACTTCGTCTGCGATGATAAATAAAAAGGTAAGCTGACAGCAGCACCTTGCCAAACCAGGTCATTATTGTGGCTTGCTTTCGCGCAAAAACGGCAACATAAGTCAACGGGGGGCGGGCTTTTGTCAGACAGTGATAACAAGATGGTCCTACTGGCTTATCTCCTACAAGCCTTTTCTATTTAACGCAGAGCGAGTGAACGCAGCCGACGGCAGCGGTCGTTGAGGTAAGCGAGGTGACGGGGGCAGAAAGGTTGCCACAATGGTGACGATACAATTTAATTATCCAATCTCAGGCTCCTCTTTGGCCTTTTGATGGCGATGGAGATGACGGGTGGACACACGCACAGGCAGCGAGTACAGGAAAAACAGAGAGAATAGAAACCAAATGAATTAGTGACTGTATCCAATAGGACGGACTGTTCGAAATTGGATTATGATTATAATAACGTTGATAAGCCTTATGATGATCGTAATCGTCACAGCACGATGGTGAGGTAGAATGAGACATAGAGAAAGGCCGCAGCTTGTGAATACATCATCCACGTTACGTGAGAGTGCGGATCTAGTATTGCTAATTAGGGGGCTATTAATTGTTAACTGACGAAGGGTAAGGGAGTAGACGGAGTTGAGACCTATCAGCTACGCTAAGTTGTCTTTGAAAAATGTTGTCTGTCTTGATAGTAAACAACGCTCGTAAAAGCTGTCTTACACAATACTGTACATATCGCCTATTAGGAAGATAACTTGATCGAGTAGAATTAGCTCGAAACAAGTGGCAAACTTTTATTTGATAGAAGATAAGGTTCTGTTATAGTAAGCGTTGTCGCTTCGGGTCGCCATGACTTTTTGCGTCACAAATGGCCGTCGGTGGCCAGCCGTGACTCGGCTGTGGTGCACTCAAACGACTCAGGAGTAGCGCAGCCATAATAACAGTAGGGAAGAACTGCTGTTTTCGTTTTATAAAAAAATAATTTATTGGACACTTGGTTGAGAAGACTGAACATGGCATTCATATAATTTATTCTTGTCTCTGCGCGCTGCTTGTATCTCCTGTAAGCGAATTGTTTAACAGTAAAGCAGTCGTAGCCCAATGAACCGTCCCGTGCTTAGAGACTACTCCGAGATGGCTAGGTCGTCAACAACGCTTCATAGATAATCCTGAAGAAAGAGTGTGGCGAGTAAAGATTTGTATTGCGTCAGAATAACAGCGTGCTGGCAAGACAAGTAATAAATCAGCGTCGAAAACTTCAAAAGTGACGTGCGTGTGGATAACTATATCGTTAGACGGGCTCATAAACAGGTACCCTGGGGACTCCAATCATTTAAGTCTTTATATACATTGTGAGAAAGACTTCGCCTTCCAAGAAATCGAAGCTGGACACGACATATCAGCCGTAATTAGTGTGCTACTTACACAATCTAAGCGTAAGATGGTCCGCTGCGATCGTTTGATTTTACAAGGCGCCAGTGTTGTAAGATTACAGAGTGATTTATAAACACTCTATTGCTGTAAAAATCAGTACCCTTTTTCTTAACAACGTTCTGTACGAAATGTATACTTCTCTAAGAATAGTTCATGCGTATGCAAGAACCTAAAACGTGAGCCTTTATGAAAAACTTCTACAAATTGACTTCCCGATACAGTATAAGGGCTCAACAATTCACGACCTTTGGCAGTTAACCAGTATTTTGCGCTAGCTACTATTATTATCCTATACGATTAGTTGTCAAGAAAAAAAAAAAAAAGGTTGATAACATCCTGTATGGATCCCACGCCGCTTCATAGGTGTGTTGGAAAAACCCCGGATGGGTCCCACAAGACCCATTCCTGTTAATGGGGGAAGTCCTTGGTGCTGTATTTAAAAGAAGACTATTCCGACTACTTGCTCCTACAAAAATTGCAAAGGCTAAAAAAATAATATCATGCACATACACAACTCGTAATACCGTGATTCGTTTTTTTGAGTATTTTAAACTACCTCAGAAAGTATGCGATTCGACAGAATAAAGAGATGAATTATAAAGAAGATCCGCATTATAATTACAACAATTATAAGATTCGAATTTTAGTTTTAGATGTTGCTTCGATTCAAAGTATCTAGCTACCCAATGTACTGGAGCTGCTACTTTATTTATAGTGCACGATCGTGTGCACTTATCTCTGTACGCCTCCGGGTGAATCAAAAACTAATCATGCAGTAAATATGCTAACGTACGTTTTTTCCATAATCTTCACAATAGAAATTTCATCGCGTAAAAACATTAACAAGCGGTGCTTATACAGTGTTATTTTCTTTTTGCTTTGTATGCTCTAAAATTTAATTTCTAAGCTTACGGTTAGTGTAGAGCAAACCTTAGGTCTGATTACTGTTGCACGATACAAAGCAAATCTGTATCGTTTGACATAGCGGGAGGTTTACGAAAAACAAAGAATAGAGCCGATGAAATATTGACTCTTTCGCGATTTTACGTTTGGTTTTTGAAAATAACTCTTCAATGTGTATATTGTTTATCTAACCAGGTTATAGTAAACTTATTTACACAATAGACAATGATCAATATTAGGAATGTACAAGACCAACTATTAACTTTACCGATATCGGCTAAATCTATCTATTTTATTTAACCATACGCGTTCAATACTTTTCCTTTTTTTTTTTTTCTATAATCAATCTGTAATTATTGTGATGGTGAGCTAGTAGGGCTTCTGTATATCTTTTCCGTTACGTGGACCAACGTGTAATGTTGAAATAATTCTCGATGGTCGATTTCACTGCCATAGTTATTTCAAGCTGTTGACTGTCTTGGTTTGTATTAGTATAATCGTTTACATCTAGCTGAGTTGAAAAGCTAGATACGCAGTGATGCGTAAGCATTAGTTACGTCCATGTCTTAGCTTGTTGACGCGGCTAGAGTCGCACATGTAAACCGAAGCATCCCTATAGAATACTTAATTGTATTATTGTTTTTTTTTTTTTTAATGTTTTTAAGTAGTGACAATTAATGCCTATACCTATTCTATTTGGGCCTTGCGCTCACTTAATCGAACTCTATTTATCCGAAGTCGGGAAGTGGCTACTTTCCTCACCCAGTCCCTTCTACACACAAATATCCGCCATTTTAGGGTGTGGTGCGCGTAGTTAGGGAACCATGTTACTATTTTAGCTATTATAGATCGCCAACCATGACCCCAGCTGGCAGGGCAAAGCACACTGCAGTTTGTTGTTTTGGTACTTTAGGCCGGTCGCCTTTGCCATTGCTTAACCGTTTTCATTGCCCCTCGCATTTGCCCCACCACCTTGCCCCCCGTCTCATCTTTCCGATAATTGTCCCAGCGCAACCTCCTTACCGTTAATGTTGTTGGCAAAATGCCATAAGCGACGTAGACGAAGTGATTTCTGTATTCCTGCGTGCACTCCCAAGTCATTCTTTACTGGTCAGAGGCGTACAATCCTTGCCATGCTTCGACTCCGGAATCATGCGAGCAAAAAGAAAGGCTCTTTTCGTCCCTTCGTTTATTCCAGCGTTTAGTTGGGCTTAGCCGGTTTTCGCTGCCGGTGACCCAATAGCGCCCGCCAAGCAATAGTTCACTCGTCCGAGCGCCCGTGCCAAAAGAGAAAAGTAGCTCCGAGGACTCAATCCATCGAAACTAGCCGTCGTTGTTCCGTTCCTCCGTCCTCGACAGTCTATTTGGCTATCTGGAGGGACGTTCTCTAGATGGCGCCAGCTGTCTCGTTCACGTCAACCAGTCATGTTGTGTGTGCAGTAGCGGCATCGTGTCATCGCCGTTCGAAGCCTGTTCTGCTGTTGGAAGGGAATCATTATCGACAGCATTGGCAAGACCAATTGAGCAGTAACTGAATAGGCCACAGGCCGATTGCCTCGATCAGCGGCGATACGATTGGCTGTAATATAGAGGCAAAGATTTACATTTATCTGTTGATTATCTGAGGCGCTAGGCTTTGGCACTAAAAGCAACAGCACTAGCAGTGAGTCTATCTACATGTCTAGCTGGTCTGTATCACCAACCGCTCCGGTGGCGGTCGACTTGGGCGCGACTCAGTGCGAGGAGAAGGGCCCGTGGAGGACAGTTGTTCAAATCGAATGATGATCGTCTTCATCATCAACATCATCGCCGCTGTCGTCGTCGGCTTCCGCTGGCGCTAAGAAGAAGCTGCTCAAGGCAGCTAGTAAGCAAAGCCAGCTTCTGTTGTTGTTGCCGCCACCTCGTAATGTCCTTCTGTCGTGCTCTCTGCTCTGCTGGGATAGGGAGACAAAGCCGCCGCCGCCTCCATCGTTTCCTTTGTTTCGTTAGTTCCGTATCGATGTTAGCCTCGGCGGATGGTGTGTCTCTGTTCTTCATATGTTGGCCCTCTTTGGAGGCCGTGTTTTGGCGACGGTGACTACGACTTTGGCAATGGCGGAGCAATGCTGGCGCGGAGCGGGAGCAATATTTGACGACGGGCAATTGTGGGAGCGAACAGTCAAATCGACAGATACACCGAGAGACCGAAAGCAGCTGGGGCTCTTGGCTGGTCAGTGGGATTGCTGCCTCCTTGATCATGTGGATGGGCAGTACATGGCTATGTGGGCTCTCTCGTTCTTGCCCTTGCTATTCTCCTATTTTCGCTATCGTTGTGTAGGACTACCATGGCTACGGACATTTGCACGCGCGCTTAGCTCTGAGAGAACAGTTAGCGGCCCCTAGTCAAGCCAGTGGTAGCAGCGTTCCTACAGCAACGAGTAGCACGGCGGTTCTAGACAAGCGCCAGTGCTCGAGGAGGAGAGCGGATCTATCCCTTTTTTTTTCATTTGCTGTTTGGCCGTGCTGCGCTGGCTGCCTTCGACTTCAACTCGCGGCGACTCTTTCTTTCCCTCCTCCCTTTTCGTTTTCGGCAGTCACCCGTTCACTGAGCGACCACTATACAAGCTTTGCTGCCACCACTCCTTGCGAATCCGTTCAGCCTCCTTTTATCTCTCGCCATTCGTTTTGTTTCTCCTTTGTCCTGAGGGAGAGCGATGCGTGGCGCCCTCCAGTGGGCGCCAGAGTCGTGTCCTGCAGCCGTGCCGCTGCCATCTGTTATTATTGTACTACCGCGAGGAGGACGGCCGTTCCCTTGCCGACGGACGGAGAGACGAAGCGTTGGCAGCGCCGCTACTGGGAGGCCGCCATCTCTTCTGTCTGCCTGCGAGTGAGTCGAGCCGCCCATGCGAGTGCCTGTGCCTCCTGCTGCCTTCGCCTGTTTGCTGCTGTCTGCCTGTCTTGAGTGGACTGAACTCGACTCACTGCCTGTGATCGCCTGCCACAGACTTTACCGTGGTCTACCTATCTCTATCTGTCTGACGACTTAACACTGTCTGACTGTTCATTCGTTCGTTCGTTGATCGCGCGTTTGGTGAGTGCAGCACGACTGAGTACTACTACTACTACTTTTGCGGATCGCTGTGCAGGTGCTGGTGGAGTTCAGCAGTGCAGCTGACCATCGCATGGACTGATTTGCAGCCGAGAAGCAGAGCCAGCGTTGTGTGTGCGTGCCCAGCCGTCAAGCCGCGGCCCGGACCACCACCACATAGGAGCAAGTCCGTGTGCCCACAACAAGGTGACTCTAAGGACAATATCGGGTGCGCGTTCCGTCTCCACCCCCCATACGCGCTAGTGGCCAGAAACGCTATAAAGAATATTGCAATAGCTGAAGGACGACATCGGACGACGTCTTGATGCGTCCTGGCACTCGTGACCGCCCGTAGTGGCGACGCCGGCATGGTCTAACCGCGATGGCGGCAGCCAAAATGCCATGACATTCAACCCTCCCCGGTCGACCCCCTATCGGCACGACCCGCGCCCATTCTATATACTGTCGGATATTATGCAGCCAATGTGACGGTGGAGTTTGATTGTTGTTTCCTCCTGATAGTGGTGGTAACTAATAGTGATCGCCTTTCATAAAACGTCTGCGCCGTCAGTAGCTGCAGGTTGCATGCAAAGCCAAAACTCGTGTCCACGTCGAGATGTAGAGACTCATCGTGGCCGTAATCGGTGCAGCAATCGGCAATGAATCCGTAGGGATTTTGTTAGACGAACGGTGGGCATGGAAATTACTTTGAAAAGACGTTGCTACCATAGCAAAGAGTGCTGCTACTGCCGCTGTGATGGGTTCCTCGGCCACTATTAGGAGGGCCATTACTGATACTGCAACTGCTTCTACTGAGGGTAGCTGACATTGTGTGGACGCATAAAAATAGATTTGGTGACGTTGTTGATGATGATGATGACGACAATAAGGTTCATGGCATTGGTACAGAAAGCGTAGCGTCGAAGGTGCCCGCGGAGCGAAATCTATCTTCATTAAATGCGGCCTTGTGTGTGCACTCTTAGATCTCCGTGCATACATACATGCGCACATAGCGAGAAAAGGCGAGACATGGAAAGAAAGAAAGCTGGCTCGACGTGCTAGATATGAGCTGCGCAGGCTTTGTGAGTATGTGTGCTGTCGGCAGTGATCTGACCTGCGGGTCGGTTTGTTGATGGCTCGTCATGCTGGTGATGACGATGATTGTTCTTCTACTACGTGTTTCGCGCTAATGGTGGCGTCATTTGATGATTCGAGTCCTCCGTGCGAAGCAAGCGTTTTAGTAAGACAGTTCGTTTTCGGCGGCGGATATGCTTTGTATAGCTAGAAGCCGCCAGTGACCATCGTCGCCCGCGTCGCTTCGAATAAGCGGTGCTGATGATGACGTTGCTTGATGCACCCGAAGAAAATCTATTTATGTAAACCTCGCCGATGACGAGTGTTGTCGTTTGATTTAAAAGCTTTTACGGTTACCGTCTCTTGCGTCCGTCTGTCGGCGTTCGAGTCCGTCTCTGGCCGTCTGCGTCTGCGTGTGTGTGTGTGTGTGTGTCTGTGTGTGTGTGTGTGTATGTGTGGGGGTGAGTGTGCGCGTCCATGCGTACGCGCGTGTAAGTGCGACTCTGTCTGTGTGTGCCGTTGTCCCGGTACCCCGCAGTTGCAATTCATCCACCTATCGCTTCGGTGGGACAATTCCACCTTCGTCTGATGCTGGCAGACCGCAGAGAACTGCTAAATACGAGATTTCTCGTAGATGTTGCTGTTAAACCAGCCCAATAGCCAGTAGTTATTCAAATCTTACTGGACCTAGGCTAAGACCTGCCGATTAGTTGCAGCAGTTGGCAGCCGCGGCAGTACTACAAACGCTGCTCTCAGCTGTTAGAGATGCTATGTGCCCGTTACGAGAGCTAAAAACGATCTGCCATTTTGACTTGCCGATTGTCGTACGATGACGGCAATAGAATTTGAGACAACGTTGTACACGATGAGCTCTGAATCATATATTTAGCCCATAACGTACACTTATATGTGTACCACTGGAGCGTAATCGCGCCATATAATTGCGTTTGTGATAAGGTCTTATTTTTGCTAATGCGATCTGTATGAAATTGGTGTTACATACTCGGGCAATTGTATGCCTCTTGTTGAACGTCAAATGTCACCACCGTAATTTCCCGAAATACGACTCAAAGTCGCGCTCTTTGCGGACCTTTTTAGTGAATCGGTGATTTAGTGCAATGAGATTTGCATTACGACCACTACCATATAGATATGGTTGTCAAAACAAAAATGAACGGAAAGGCTTATTCAGCGCGAAGGTCCTCACGCGATGTGACTCCACGTGGACTGCGTATATGTCATATACAGGAGCACCATGGAAAGTTATCTTCTTTTTTCGTTCTTCGATGCTGATTGCTTGTACATTGCCCAGCGCGTCTATCTTGCGCACTGTTTTGGAGAGACAGCGCAATGTTGACATTTGACACAGCATTGACTTCATTAGCTTACAACTGGCTAATAGCCATCTGATGTCCTCTTCCTCGGTTGTCTAGGCCAAACCAGAACCGGGCGAGTTACGAGAACCACTGGCTTCACTTATAATGAAACTTTATCGTTTATGGGCAGGATCACGATCGATGGGACGATTATGAGGACTCTCTATGAAGTCTTTACACGACAGGCAGGCGGCCTGCTTGCAAGACGTCAGGCTCAAGACTCCAAGACACTGCATCCGAAACTTGTGAGATATTGTCTTTGTCGCTGGCTTTCGCCGCCGTTGCAGTCACAGCTCATAACTTGAGTCAGATCGTAAAGACGTGAAGCGCATTTTACAGTGTGTATATATATAAGTAACGATATCGAAGGTTGTCCATTTACTTGATGAGCGTGTCACTTGGTTTGAATAGGGATTTTAGAGTGAGCACTCGTTGGCGACTACGATGAGAGTGTCGATCACTCAGTAATTGCTATTCGTTAAACTACGGCGGTTAGGTGGAACTGGAGGCGTCGTACAGAACAGAGGACCCATCAGAGCCAACCCAACGGCTACAGATGGATCATATATGTACATCTATCCACAGATAAATGGGCTGGATGACATTGGATACTTTGGCGGGTTGACGAGACAAACGCAGCTGGGGACGGCGAATGTCTGGCGGTGACGGGACCAATGTGACTTTACCACAGGATCCACCGCTTCCACCTATGTAAATTCGGTGACAAAGTAGTAGTTGTTGGCTAGGCAAGGTCACAAAGGTCCCTTATCCCTCCCTCACCTCTATTCATTGTAGACATCTCATCTTCCGTTCTAGCTTCGCCTTTAACGCAGGACCGCTATCCGACGCGGTCGAGCGGTAATCGTTGACATATTTATCTTCTTGTAAGTCCGTCGCACTGCGGCCACATAGTCTAGCGCCGGCAACGCCCATTGGTCTTACAAGAAAACGCACATGTGTCAACCCAGAGCTGAACGAAGACTGTTAAGTATATTTAGAATAGTCGTAATTGTCATACTGGTGATACATCAGTACGTTTTATTAAATAGTCGTTCTTTAATGCTTGATGCATATTTATGAAGCACATATATCCATGTTGCAGTATATATAATATACAATATTGTTGCTTGTGATTGAACAGCTGCATATTTACTTACTCTTCAACGATCAACGCTATTTATAGTGAATGTTCACTAGTTAGTAAGTTTGTGAGCGTGTTGTTACGCAGAAATTCGCACTAGACTAGAATAGCGTTGTGACAAGGGCAGTATAATAAGCACGGGCGCTTCTCTAAGGTCGAGATCAAGCCAAAGCGAGAGGGGAAGCAAGTCGACATTTATAGAGAGAGAAAAGACCTGCTTGTGACAGACAAGCCCCTGGGCTAATGCGAAAATGTACATGCTTACACCCAACAGTGGCAACACTAACAATGTAAGTAACGGTAGTGCAAGATGTAAACAGAAGCTTGCGACAACGTTGACGCCACAGTGCATCATATGCTGGATCACCTGACGAAACGGTCGTCGGCGCCCTGTTCAACTGGTTAGGACATTCGAATGCCGAATAGATAGCCTTTGTCTATCTATACGACATTCGAAACTTACCGAGGCCGGACGACGGTCGATTGGCTATCGTTGCGCCTGTTTGTACGTGTGTGTAAGTTCGTAAGGGCGTACAGAGAGACAAGGGCTAACTAAGGCGGTAGCAAAGAGCTTAAGCCACCTTCATGTCCCAGAGGATTATTGGCTACTGGCTTTGTTGGCATTGCGGGCGTCACTCATAAAATCGACGATATTACTCGCATCAGAAAGGAGCAAAATTAAAAACAATATCATCTCTCATATATTACATATCATGGAGACGATGTATAGCCTACAGCTGAATAGCATAGACGCATAATTGAAACAATGGTCCAAGCGAACTAAGCTAGAACGTCGATTGGAATAAATGATAGCCTAAAAAACGGTCAAATCGGTGCGCCGCCTATTCCCTATAGCAAACAATATTCACGACTTCAGTGGCCGCCATTGATATCATATCAATAACTGACACATAGCAGAAATGGCATAAGTTTATCAGTACGCCTGACTGCTATTTCTCTTAAGTTGAACAAATTGTGGACAGAGCTACGGGGCATGATTAAACGGCTAACATTTAACAACTAATGTTTCTATCGTATTTCTATAGAGAGAATCTGTTTCGATAAGTGACGGGAGCCGCCGAAGTAGCACACATCTTATTTCATACCAAATGTTTTCTTTTCTTATAATACATTACAGGATAATAATGTTCGACTAGTTAATTGTTGGTGATTTATTTGGGATGTCCAAAAAGACCGACTTCTTTCACGGGGCGGTCAGAAAAGGAGAATCGACCGAATTTCGCTCAAAAGTCATGATCACCTAATTAAGGAGTAGTAAAAATTTGGCAAAGCAAAAGTGATGATGGACGTTCACAGAAAAAGATGGTCGTACACTGTGATGTTGACATATTTGAAACTCCCGCCGTCTATACGTACTTTGAAACGAAGATACCGTTCCGATAACTGTGCATCGCCATCGCTGAACGTACATATCTAGTTATTACACACTTAGTATACATTTATATTGCTGGTAAAAGTAAAATCGATCACTTTTTTTTCGAACTTCACTTAATGCAGATTGCTTTTGTAGCAAATAGTAACGTAATATAATTTCAATGTGCCTCCGGCTTGTAAAGTTCGTTACCGAGCCTATATTTAAGCGGGCTACTTAATTGGCTTAAGTGATTAAGGGTTCTG